TAAATAAAGGGAAACCTTTAACATTAAAATAATAATAAAATATTATTTCTGAACCTTAATGGTCAAAATTGCTTTGTATATTTTGTTGGCTTTAGCCCTCCTTATCTAAGCTGTTTCAATCTTTTGAGATATCCTCTTCCTATCACAGACATAGCTTTTTCCAGGTCTTCTTGATTCACTTGTTCATCTACTTTTAATTTCACATCTCCACAATGTTTAGGTATATAGTTTTTAACTGCTTTTCTTTTAACCTGCCTTTATTGTCATTTAATTCAATAACTCTATTATTATAGCTAGTTTATCTTCAAGTAACTACTCAAAAAAAGGAATTATTTTCTCCACTTTTATTCTGTCAAGGAACCCCGGGTGGTGCCGTGGTTAAGTGATGGGCTGCTAACCAGAAGGTCAGCTGTTTGAATCCACAAGCCACTCCATAGGATAAAGATGTGGCAATCTGCTTCCATAAAGATTACAGCCTTGGAAACCCTATGGGGCCATTCTACTCTGTCCCACAGGGTCACTATGAGTCTGAACCAACTCGATGGCAATGGGTTTGGTTTTGGGTCTATTATGTCACCCAAAAAAAGTAGCTAGAATACCAGGAAAACAGCAGGTACTGAAAAACATCTTCACAATGAATGAATGAATTTACAAATTAAAAACGAGATGACCATTTGTCCAATTTGGATGTAAGTATGAAGTGAAAATATTTTCTTAAACTTTAGCTCCCTCCCCACCCACCGCAAATAGAACGTGAATCGAAGGTAAAAAGCGTATTACTTTACATAAAAACAAGCGATGTCCTACATTCACCCCCACGCTCACCTCCAAAACCTAGGACACTGTTATCCACAGGAAAAAAGATAAACATTTGTTTATGTAATTAAATATAAAGAGAAAGATGGTTTACTTTAGCTATGTTCTCATCATTTCCCTCCTCACCTCTGGCTGATCCTTCTTAGTTTCCTTTGTTGGCTCCTCCTACTCTAAACCAAAAAACGAAACTTGCTGTCGGTGAGCTGATTCCAACTCACAATGAGTTAGAGTAGAACTGTTCCACAGGGTGTTCTTGGCTGTTATCTTTACAGAAGCAGATCTGCCATGGTACTACTAAGCGGTTTCAAACCGTCCACCTTTGGGTTAGTGGTTGAGCACAAACCGCTTGCACCATCCAGGGACCTCCTCCTACTCTACCGAGTCTCTAAACACTGGTGTTCCTCAGGCCTCAGGCCTGGACCCTCTTCGTGATCCACTCTGTTTCACTAAATGGACTCAGCTTATCCCATGATTTATATATCATCTACATACTAATGACACCCAAATACCTGAATTACAGGTCCCAGTCTTACAGGTAGTAAGAAAAATCACTTCCTGCAAACCCAGGAGCCTTAGCAAGTTTGAGGTCCTCAAGGAATTCACCCAAATTTATAGGTACTGCAGGTGAAGTAGAATGGAAAGAGTTTCTTGGGCGTGGTTTCCAGACCTCAAAATAGCAGGTAATAGAAGTTTTTTGTCCTTAAAAACTTTTTATTTTAAAACAATTACAGACTCACAGGAAATTACAAAAAGAGTACAAAGAGAATCATGTGCCCTTTGCCACCTCCCCCAATGATAACAACTTATATAGCTGTAGCACACTATCAAAACCAAGAAATCAATACTGGTATAATAATGTCAATAGACTACAGACTTTACTCCTTATTCAGTTTTCACCTTTTTTTGAACCTACATTTGTGTGTGTGTGTGTGTGTGTGTGTGTGCGCGCGTGTGTAGAGTTCTATGTAATTTTATCCCATTTGTAGATTCGTGTAACTATCACCAAGACATACAACTCTTCTATCACCACAAACGAACTCCCTCATGCTACCTTTTCGTATTCCCACTCACTTCCCACACCCACCTTCCTTGTTCCTGGCAACCATTAACCATTCATTTGTTCACCATCTCTGTAGTTTTGTCATTTCAAGAATGGTATATAAATGGAATCATACAGTATGTACCCACATACCATTTGATTATTCATACCTTTGCTACTTTACATTGATCATTTATCTCTTGATAAAACTTTGTGCATAAGCAAATACAAATTTTTCAAATACAAATTTTCTGTTAGTAAAAGAGCAATAATGTATTTTATAGTCTAGAAATAAGTATTTAAAAAGAACACAAGAAAAACAAGAGAATTTCCTTCCTTAAACACATCCAGTCTCCACTATTCTCTTTTTGTATTCTCCAACTCCCTATAGTTGAAAATTTCTTTGCCACTTATAAATTATAAAATATCCTGAAATCTGATCAAGTGTGGAAACTCTGACATTTAGTTTAGCACTTTAAAACTAATTTACTTAACACATTGTTTTATTCAAACACTTCACTGCCTAAAATTAATGTTAGCTTATTATCTACCAAGCTACAGTATAAAGTGTAGAGCATGGCATTCAAGAGCCTCTACAATAAGGACAAAAATATGCATTTACTAATTTATCTCCTACTAAACTCAACTCAAAGTCAGGAGGGGTGTGCATCAGGGGTGCATCCTTTCACCATACTTATTCAATCTGTATGCTGAGCAAATAGTCCAAGAAACTGGACTATGTGAAGAAGAATGCAGCATTAGGATTCGAGGAAGACTCATAACAACCTGCGATATGCAGAGGATACAACTTTGCTTGCAGAAAGCAAAGAGGACTTGAAGCATTTCCTGATAAAGATCAAAGACTAAAAGCCTTCAGTATGTATTGCACCTCAACATAAAGAAAACAAAAATCCTCACAAATGGACCAATTAGCAACATCATGATAAATGGAGACAAGATTAAAGTTGTCAAAGATTTCATTTTACTTGGATCCACAATCAATGCCCATGGCAGCAGCAGTCAGGAAATCAAATGACACACTGTATTAGGCAAATCTGCCGCAAAAGACTTCTTTAAAGTGTTAAAAAGCAAAGACGTCACTTTGAGGACTAAGATGCACCTGACCCAAGCCATGGTATTTTCAACCACCTCATAATCATGTGAAAGCTGGACTATGAATAAGTAAGACGGAAGAAGAATCTATGCCTTTAAATTATGGTGTTGGCAAAGAATATTGAATATACCATTGACTGCCAGAAAAACAAAAAATCTGTCTTGGAAGAAGTACAGCCAGGATGCTCATTAGAAGCAAGGATGGCAAGAGTTTGTCTCACATACTATGGACATGTTATCAGGAGGTACCAGTCTCTGGAGAAGGATATCATGCTTGGTAAAGTAGAGGGTCAGTGAAAAGGAGGAAGACCCTCAACAAGATGGATTGACACAATGGCTGCAAAATGGGCTCAGACATAGCAACAACTGTCAAGAATTTAGATATGACTAGGGTAAAATCTCTTTAAACTTCACAAGCCAAAGACTCTATGTTTAATAACTAACATTCTTTCAATGTTTAATGAAATGACATTTTTGTAAGTATTTTTAAATGACAGGTCTCAGCTAAGATGTTGGGTTACTGTTTGAGCAATGAAAAAGCACTTTGGTTTCTCATCCTATAATTCACCAGAGACCACAAGGCCATCTTAAAAACTGCACTGTGCTTTAAATTTTTCAAAGCATGTTCATGTCTTTATTTTCAATAAAATTTGTGATCATCAGATATCAACAGAAAAAAGCACATGAACAGGCAAGAGTCAATCTGAGATCTGATGAAATAAGATTTTTTAATCAAAAGACTCTTTAGTAAAGTTCTAGAACTTCATTACTAATTAAATCAATCAGCATAAGATACTCACATCTTAAAAAAACAGTGAAACAAAAACTTCTCTTCTTCCCAAATTTATGTTCTTCTCTGCCATCACTCTCACAACCCACAACTTAGAAGAAACAGTGTTTCTCAGTGGTTCCCAAAGGGCGGTCACTGCAGGCAAAGGCAACAGCAGTAGCAGCAGCATCTGGGAACTTGTTAGAAATGCCAATTCTCCAGCCCCACCCAATTCTACTGAAGCAGAAACTCTAGGGTTGGGGCACGACAATCTGATTTTAACAAGCTCTCCAGATGATTCTGATGCATGTTAAAGTTTTAAAACCACTGTCTTGGAAAATGGTTCAACTTCTCTCTACTGGGGCAGTAGCCCTTTAATTACTTCTCCTTAGCATCTCTTTCTCAGTGTCACATTTTGCTCAACCAAAATATTTTCTTATCTGAATGATTAATTCACCAATAACTTCGCTGTCATTTCCTACTTTCTTTCCTTTTAAAATGGGAGGCTGCTTTTAAACTATCTGATACAATAAAAAAAAAATTATCATATATAAATTATTATGAACTGTTTACACAGAAACGCATTTTTAACTTGTGTCAATAGGTTAAAAAAAAAATTCTATATAAAAAACAATTCTGTAAATAGGCCCATCTTTTTCTTTTACTCCATCCTAAATCATATATAATATAACCCACATTTGTGGGAAATTTTTTAATAAATCATTGTACACGTCAAACAGTTTACAACTAAGATATTATTCTATGGTCATCAAAATGATCACTTTCCTGCAAAAACATCTCTATTTTGACATTTATACCATCTTTGAAATTATCTTCTGGAGAAACATAAAATATAGGCATTGGTCTTAGCAAATGAACCTATGATTTACAACCTAGTATTCTGTACTAGGAGACTCAACTATAAGAAAATTGGCCACTGCGTACTTCTTTTGTGAAGGAAAATAATATGTAACTTTAAATAAGAGTGTTTTCTTAGAAATATTCTGTAGAAACGCTGACTGGACGTGGACAATTTCAGATAATATACACGTGCACGTGTATATAAGCAGGTACATCAGTTCTTCAATGCTGAAAAATAATGACAATAACAACGACGAAGCAAAACAACTAAAACCATCTCAAAATAAATTATTTTGATTGACAAGAGAAATGTATCTAATACCACAATAAATTTGGTAAAAATGGATCTCTGATTCTAGATATTATCTGATAACTAACAGCCAAAAAGGACTATTTACTCACCTGTGTACATAATGTAGTTGATGAACTGAATCAATTGCTATCACCATTTCAGCCAAGTAAAATCGAGCCATCTCTTCAGGCAATCTATCTTCAAATTTGCTGAGCAGAGTAAGCAAATCTCCACCAACATAATAATCCATAACCAGGTACTGGGAATAAAAAAATAAAATGTACTCAATAAATAATGAAACTGAAAAGTTAATATATTTATTGCATCCCAAGGTCCAATAGCACTGAGTCAAACACGCATGTGGTTAAGTAGTAAGAAGTTATATAAGATGATGATCAGCAGTCATTTCCAGACTTTTAAATTACACGGAGCAGTAAAAGAAAATAAAAAATTGGGGCAGGAGGCATCATAGGACTACCATTCTTTCGTTGTTGTTGTATTTTGCAAAGTAAGAATATTGAAAAGGAACATTATCATCATCACTCACAACAACAGACCACATGGTTTTATCAACATTTCGTGGAAGTCTGAACATTTTAACTATCAAAAAAGTAAAAAGGGAGGGGAAAACCCGGAATATAGGACAGTCCTTTATGTTGAATAAATTCATCTTCATCATTATTACATTTTCTTTATTTTATCTTGAACTAGTAGGAACTTCATTATAACCAGCACCAGTCTACTGACCAACATTTAGAAACCACTCATATATAGCATACAGTAATTCTCACCATACATATATTTCTCTTCCTGTTTTCTGATAGTGTGCCAATACCAGAATGTACTTTTCTCAAGTATATGTAAACAGAAGCCAACTAATTTCAGATATGGACCCTTAAGGGTATGTGTGTGTACATGCACACACACAAAAAAGGTAAGAAATATACACCAAAATGTTGACGGGGATTATCTCTGAGGGGTTAGATTACAGATGATGTTATAGCTTTCATTATTTTCTAGAATTGCTTTAAAAAATTTATTACATATACATGTGCATACTGTATATATTATATGCAAATTGTGTATACTCTATTATTATTAAGATGAGATAAAACTAGGCATAGTGAAAATCTGGACTCTGTAGTCAGACAGACCTGTATTCAGATCCTGACTCTGTGTTATAAATGGCTTTTGCAAAATTATTTAATCTTTTTGTTACTCATTTTCTCATTGATATAACAACAATAATGATAACCTTTCTCACAGTGTAGCACTTTAGCATGAAAGCTAGTCAACAGAAGATACTTATGTCAGTTACAGTGCCCTTGAATTGAGGGTGATTTTATTACAGAAAGGAGATATTACCTCAGGAATATAATGAAGTTAATATTACAATTTAAAGTCTTGAGAAAACTCAAATTATTTTTATTATTGTATATTAAAATTATAAGCATTGGTAGTTTATGTTAAATAAGAGAAACTGACTCCATATGTTTAACTCCTTGATAAATTAGAGAAACAATATATTTCAAATCCTGCTCTATAGTTTACTTACTATATTCACTGGGCCTAATGTTTAACAGACTCTGTACTGAAAATGAGAACAAACTAATTTAACGTAATAAAATTTTGTTAACATACGCATGTTGCTGTAATGGTGATGGATATGCAGAAGAAACCCACATCTCTTACCTTAAGAAGAAATTCTTTGAGTTCTTTGAATAGCAAATGCAGAAACTTTTCAAGTAAAAAATCAAGTCTGCTATTAAAACTGGAGTCTAGTATTTATAAACACACAGTCTTAAAACGTAACTAATTCATTCAATAAACATTTACTGGAGGTCAATCAGGATATTTTTTGTACCAAGCACAGAGAAAAAACCCAGAGGCTACAGAGATGAACGGCTCCTATATCAAAGACTTTTCTCTCTTGAAAGTGTAACCTAATCTTGCCATGCCAAAATCCTAAGAGATATGAGTATCCCATCTACCGATAAACTGCTAAAAAATAATTATCTTTTAACATTTCTGCCATTCACAGTCACTATTTAAAACTTAGGCTACTTGAGTTGTCCATCATCCATCTTCCACCTTCATCCCCACACTGCTAAGTGCTTCCTCCCCAAAATGTAGACAGGGATTATTTCTGAGGTGCTAGATTACAGATGATGTTGTAGCTTTTTATTATTTTCTAGAACGCTTTACAAAAATTTATTACATATGTGCATACGTGTCTACATTAATTATATATTATGATTTAAGATGAGAGAAAAATAGGCATAGTGAAAAACTGGGTTCTGTAGTCAAACATACTGCCAACTATAGTCCCCATACGCTAATAAACCAAACTCCCACGGATTCCTTGCCTTCCAGCCTTGCCATATGCCTTACTGAACCTCTTCCATGGTGAACAAACTTCCCTGAGACAGAACAAAAATGATGACTATATAACAATTTCTAGTTTTTCCTTTCCTAATGCCTGCTAAACAGGGTTCTGGCTATGCCTACTCATATTCTTCCCCTACCCTGCCCTCCGAGGGATATTAGCTGTTACTAAGAAAGAATTCAGCAAATGAGGGAAAGGGGCAGAAAACACAAAAGAAGATTAGAGAAAAATGAGTTGAAAATAAAACAATATTTGCAATGGGGTTTTGGTGGTAGGGAGAAAAGATGCATCTGGAGAGACAGACAAATAATAACCTCACATGCATCCTGAGGAACAAAGCTCCTTTTCCTCTATAACGTATCCCAACGAGTGTCACCAAGATCTGGAAGTCATCCTTTTCATGCTTCCTCCTTTTTTCCTTATAATGTTCAATTAAATTACCAAAGTCTTGCTGAGTTTATTTCCTACTAAAAACTCTGTGGAATCCATTTACTTCTATCCCTACCCACTAACACAGTCCTAATCCAGACCCTGGCCTCTCTTATAATATTACTTCTATAGGTTCAGAAACAAAGTCAATAGTTTTCCATAACATATTTTATTGTGTAAACAATTATCCTGAGAATGGAAAACAGAACACTGAACAACAGAGGAACAAATAAATTCATGTATTCATTCCACAGATATTCATATAAGTATCTACTATGTTCTGATACTACAATTACACAATGGGGATTCAACAATGAATAAGACAGAGCTCCTATCCTCAAGGAATTTACAAGCTAATGAAGGAGAAAAACACAAGTTAATTGGAAATTTCAGCGTAATATAAATGCTTTGAGAGGAACACCTCTAGCGTGTTCCTATAGAGTGTTCCTACAGGTTCTTAAAAGAAAAGAACCTAACCTTAGGATCAGGCTCATTCATTCATTTATCTGAAAGTTATTTTTTACAAGATGTGAGAACTGTTTTTTTATAGACAGCCAATTATCTAAAATAATTAGTTATATAATCATTCTTTCCCCCAATTCAACTGAAATGCCCTTTGAGCCTCATCTACCCTAAGACCAGGAGAACTAGATGGTGCCCAGCTACCACTACCAACTGTTCTGATTAGTGCCACAACAGACGGACGCTGATAGAATGAGAGAAAAATGTGGAACAGAACTCGAATTCTTAAAAAGTTCAGACTTACTAGACCAATTGAGACTAGAGGACTCCCTGAGACTATTGCCCTTTAAACAATACTCTTTAAACTTTGAACAAAATTATCCCGAGGTCACTTTTTAGAGAAATAACCAATTGGCACACAAAATAAAGGATATTACCCATGAGTACACTGCTGCATTAAAAAACCATCTATATAAGACCAAAAGGTCAACATTTACTCTAAAGCAAAGATGAGACGATAGGGGAGCAGGGAAACTAGAGTACTGAAAATAGAACAATCAGAACGCAATTAAAGAGAATGCTGACACACTGCGAAAAATATAACTGTCACTGAACAATTTGTGCAGAAACTGTCAAATGGGAACCTAATTTGCTGTGTAAACTTTCACCAGAAACATAATAAAATATTATTAAAATAAAAAAAAGAAAGAAATGCCCTTTCATCCTATTTTAAGATCCCAAATACACATGGATTTGTTCCTGGGCACTCTATTCTGCTACACTGAACTAGCTGCCTATGCCTACATCAGTAATACACCGTTTGATCGATGGCTTAATTTCCTAGTAAAAACTAATATCTGGTAGGACAAGTTTCAGTTCAAGGACTACCTATATGAAATTATTCAATACGGCTAAGATGTATTTGTACAAGTTTAAGAAAAGACAGACTGAGAGATAAATCTATAAGATATGTTAAGGAGGTAATGATCCTAACATAAAGACCTTACACCAACTGTTAAGAAGAAGACGAACATCCAACACAACTGGGCTGAGGGTAGTAACAGATAATTCTCTGAAGAGGAAACACAATTAGCTAATTAATACGTGCCTAACCTCAGTACTAGTCAGGAAAATGAAAATCAGAACAACAATATGATACCATTTTTCATCAATCAGAATACCAAAAAGTCCATTACAGTTTTGGGGAAAGTAACATCAACTAAATGCTTTTGAGAGGGTGACAAACTGCAAACTTTTGGGAAAGGAATTTCATAATATCTATTGAAATTTAAAAGGTTCCTACCCCTTGATTTAGCAATCTCAGTCTAAGGAATCGAGTCACTTAAAATAAAAGCTTCAAGATATAAGGAATATGAACAAGAATATTTATTGCACAGAATTGCTGATAGCTGCAACAAATCCAAAACAATATGAATGGAAATCAATAAGGCAATTGTTAAATATCCATTCTATAGAATATTATACAATCTAAAAGGAGTAAATATATATGACCATGACATATTTTATGGGAAAAAGAAGCAAGTAGCAGAGTAACATATATTTTATGATCTCACTTACATAAAAAGGAAAAAAAATATACACACATACAAACATACAACTATACAAAGCAAAAGAAAAATATAAAAGGATATAGCAAACGTAACATTAGTGACTTCAGGCGAGTGAAATGCAAAAACGAAAGAACTATTAACTTTTTATGTATAGACATCTACGCTGTACGGGGAAAAGATATAGTCAAATTATCATTGACTAATGGAATAAAGTTCAGGAAAAGAACAGAGAAGATGGAGTCAAAGGCAAAGGTTGACAGGAATAACCTTACATAGGAAGATACAATTTATCAACACTGAGAGAAAAGAAGATCAGAATAGGTGCAAATATGGATAAATTCGCATACAGGGAAGAATGAAGGGGAACGATGAGGACAAGGGGAAGAGAGTAGAAAGTTAAAGTTTTTGTCT